TATTGCGCTCTCAGTCTTGTACTTGGTCTTGGTCTTGCAGCAAGTTTCGCAAGTCTCGCAATGACCTATTAGCCTATTGTTATTTATTAAACGTTACTTTAGATCTTAGAACAACTTAACAGAGTAGGCACATTTTGAGCTTGAATTAACATAGCCATAGAAAGACCAACCAAATTAATAAATGTCTAAACATTTAATGAGAAATTCGAAAAATCAACTAATACCGGGTGGGGTTTGAACCCACGACCTATGCGATCCGTGCCGATGCTCTAACCAACTGAGCTGTCTACCAAGTCTCACGGCCACGGGAGTTAGTCTGTTTCTTAATAAACGTTTACATTTAATAAGCTTACATGTGCTAAAACTAAGTAAAAATATATAAAAAACAAATTAATGAAATTAACTTGACTATATTATAAAGAACATTAACTGTCTAGAAAGAGATTAATAGACCCTTATATGAAATGGAATAAAAGAGTTATACAAGTTAACATTTAATTAAATAAAAAAATAAAATACAATACAAATTAAATTACATAACAGTACACAACAGCTTTGACATTACTGTTACTTTATATTAATTCTTTTGACCAAGAATTAATACAAAGTAACCATCTGGCCGACTCATCACTTAACCTATTTCTATGTTTTCTAATTACTAATGATGCTTTAGAAAATAATCTCTCAGCAGGTACTGAGGTTGCAGGTATTGAAAGAAAATCACGGGCCATCTTCGATAAAGTCGGATATTCTGTCTCATACGTCCTCCACCACTCTAAAATGTCTTCCGAACTGGCGGCTCTGGGTTTACTTAGGTACTCCTCCAACTCATCTATAACTAAGCCTTGATGAAAAGATCCAGATCCAGATGACGTCGAGGGACATGCATACAATTTCTCAAAGTCTATTACGTCTTCATCTTCATCATATTCATATACTTTCTTTTCATTTCTTGGTGATTCTAGAGATGTATTCACTGAGTGTAGATTTTTATATTCTTTATAAAGTTCATTAAATTTGCGCAGGCTTTCTGTTTTAATTTGCTTCCCCCATAATGTCATGTCAAAAGTCTGAGTCTTATGCCTTGGGTCTAAAATTAAAGAGGTACAATAAATCCAGTTGCTCTTTTTATAATGTTTAAGCATTTTGTCTCGAGCTGTTTGAAAACCCAGAATGAGCCTTTCATCCACTTCGGATGGATTAGGTTTCTCATCTAATTGTTTTACCATGCGGCGAATAATGATACAATGACTAGCGGTAATGTAACATATTTTTCTCCACCAAGTTTCGTTGATAGAAGTTTAAAGTTTATTATAAACTTATGTATTTTTTCGAGTATTTGCCATTCACTATCTGTGATTTGAAAATCATTCAATTCGGTGACAGAAGTGCACAATATGTTAATGCCAGTTCTTACTTTTAAACCAAATCCAATCATATCATGTGTGGAATTCCATCTCGTTGGACAGTCGAGTATGGGGTTCAGATTTGATGGCACGCCAGCTGCTTCACAAGCAGACTGAAACTTCCTCTTCAATATCTCACTTCTTTTTATTTTACTGGAAATACTGCGTAATTTTGTTATAGCTGTACGTGAGTCAGCAATATTTGGCGCATATTCTTCATCTTCCTCAGTTTCGTCTTGATTATCTTCATACTGCTGTTCTTGTCCCTTATTGTCAGTTTCACTGTGTAATGCTAAGGTCTTTAATAAATCTTGTACACCAAGGTTCAAAATGTGAGCAAAGCACCGGAAATGTTGATTGTCTGAATCAAAGTGTGGCAGCTGTTTGTCCAATTCATACATAAATTTGGTATTTGCAGTTGCGTTGTCGACCGTGATGCCCTGTATTTTATCAATTATGGCATATTCCAATAAACATTCATGGAAAATCGTTGCAATATCTTCCCCAGTATGTCGACCGTGTGATGGTATAAAATCAAGAACTACAGATCGATACTTCCATTCGTTGTCTATATAATGAATAGTGACCCCGTAGTAACTCCTACCAGCAATTGACGTCCATCCATCAATGGTAAATGACATTTTAGATGAAAATTGTTGTAATTGTTTCTTAAGATTCAATTGAAGCTCTTCAAACCGTTCTTTGACCTTCCTTCTAAGTGTGGACCTTTTAGGAAACACCATATTTGCGCAAATTGATCGAAAATATACTTGTGTAGCTTCGTCATCGAAAAATGAGAAGGGAAGATATTTTTTAACCATCCAATCAACTGTAGCTGTCGTGATGTTGCCACTGCTATTTTCAGACTGAAATAAAACAGAAAATCATGTGTCTCGCCGATTATAAAAACAAATACCTCAGGAACTATAAAACATACAAACTTGAAGTTTGTAAGGTAGGTTCCTTTTATCGCATAGAAACCAGTTAAGAAACGGTTTTGAGAAAATCTATCCCTAAGGGAGTGAAATGGGAGTTGGAAGTTTGTATGAAAGTCCTACGTTTTTGAAGTTAGAGACACGAAAATCGGCATTAAAGTTATAAGTTTTAAATAACAAAATCCTGAATAAGCTGTTTTACGAAATCCTAACCCTAAGGGGGTGAAATTGGGGTAAAATGGTTACATGCAAGTCCTATATTTTTAAAGTATAGATATGAAGATCGACATTTACTTTATTAGTTTTAAATAATAAATACTTGCATAGTTAAGCTTTACCTATATAGCCTCTTTATACTTAGGTAAGACTTTTGCAGCGAGAAAATTTCAAAATCTCATAGGAAATCAGATATTGTACGCGGACGAAGTTGCAGGCGGCCGCTAGTTACATAATATATGTGTTATGTAATTGTGTGATAAGTATATTTTTTCTTACCTGTCCACTTTTTCCGGTGCTTATTAAAAGCTTGTGATATCTCCACTTAATTTTGGTTTTTCAGGAGGAAATATTTGTGATTCCTTTTTGTGGAAAGATATTAGATGCTTCCTTAAGCCTGAAGTGTTTCTGTTTTTCATTTTTATTTCAACCTTTTTATGTTGGCATAATTTACACAAAGCAATTTGGGATGCATGAATTATGTCGAAAAACTCATTAAATTTACTTTTAGGTCTTTTAGATCTATAACTCCAACTCTCACTACTCCGACTAGAACTATTCGACTCTTCGTCACTCATGTCAAATTGTAAACTTATCACTCCGAGAACAACAAAGATTAGAGTAAAAACAATTAATACATTAGACTCGAAGCAAATCTCAATTGGGAATGATTGGAATTAAAATAAATACTACTATTTGTAAGTACACGCCAAAAGACCGACAAAGCAAAGTTCGGCATCCTTTGATAAAATTAATGATTCTTCAGAAGATTAATAAAGTAGATGCGTTGCCAGATAGGTATAGTGTGCCTACGTAAAAATGAAATGTAAATATGTAAATAAAATTGTGTATATTATGTTCTTCTTGTGATTGAATTAATCTACGTTAATTAAATTAAATTTGCTTTCACTCGTTTGAAATTCAAAATTCAAATATGTTTTATTCAAGTAGGCATTAAAAATACACTTTTGAATAGTCATATAATCAGTGTTTTCCCCAAATTTTTCTTTTCCATGTCCAGGGGTTCTGATTCTACTGAGAAGAATCATGGAAGAAAGTAAGAAACTCAGTAGTTGCTCTTTTCAAAATATTTTTACAATAGTTCTATAATTATGTAAAGCGATAAGTCAAACATAAAATGTCAAATGTATATGTAGATACCAAATCTAGTTAGTCCTGTGTAGTACGAGATGTCAGTTCCAAGCATTTTTGTCTGACTTAAATTGAAAAGGTGAAAGATCTAACATTTCTTTTGGAATCTTATTATAAAAGCGTATATCGCTACCCAAGAACGCATTATATACTTTGTGTTACCGGAAAGCAGGTATTGTGATTTTATTTTTATTTCTACTATTAAAATTGTACAAATCACTATTATTTACATCAATTCGATGCAATATCTCTTCGAGAACCGTTTAAAGAAATTGTCTTTAAACGGTTCTCTAAGAGATACTCGGGCTCTTAAAAAGAACATAGATCTTATTTTACGCTTTTTATTTAATATGCACACTTTTTATATTATTCGATTAGCATTGTACAAAATGTTTACACGTTTCAAGTGTGTTAAAAGTGTCTACAATATTTACCAAATGGGTGACGACATATTCGAACACTTTGTGTTCAAAAACACACACTTTCAATAATCGAGATTTGCAGTGAACTTATTGAACATGTTTATCTATTAGGTAATAATAATTATATACTTACTATTAAGTAATTATTATAAACCCATATAGTTAATATTATAATAATTACTTACTAGAATAAATTATTATGGTATCTACCTATCCTTACCATTATCTAATTACAATATTCCTTGCGAGATCAGCATAATGTATTCGTGTCCATTCTGAGCACCCGGAAACTTATTTTATTCCTTGGAACATGTACTCTGTGGCGGCATTCAAACAGTGTCAAATGTAGAGCGTGCGGCGCGGCGGCGACGATTGAATGCGATATTAATAGAAGCCGCCGGCGCGTGTATCTTGACCTTGTACTTCCGAATAGCTGCAAAATTTCTTTGACAGGTCAGTATTCGACCTTTGATGATGCCTACAACTAGACGCCGCGCACTATCTAAGTGCCGATGGTCAAATCTAGGGATGCACTGTTTTTTCTTTTAATGGATATTTTCATCTGCTATGTATGTTTGTGGTATTGTTCGTAATGCGCATAAGTAATATATAAAAATAATAATACATATAAATAAAAAATATATAAAAAAAATCACGCTTATCCTATAAAAAAAACTTCAGATCCGATAATATTAGACGTCGGCGATTCGAAGTTGTCGCCGTGGTCAAAATTGGACAAGAAAAGAGATGTTATGTCTTCAAGCCTCATGATAGTCACTTTTAACATCAGAAAAGGCAATGGCTTAAAGTTATACGATTTTGAACGTTATTAACAAAAGAATAACATACAATTAAATTTTCAGACGAAGATGTTGAAGACAGTTTTCATTATCGCAATAGTTGCAATGCTGGTTGGTGAGGTAAGTGGTCATTACTATACCATCTTTTTATAATATTGGAGTTATACCTATAAACAGTCCATCTAACAGTAAGAGACTAGTTCCTGCAATCTAAGGACACCTCAGCGGCAAAACACACAGTGGCCTTGCTACAGTTATGTAATCGTTGTAGCACGAATGGGTCGTCTCGACTGCGAATGGACCATGCTATCAGCGTAAAATAGCAACTTAATGCTGCTGAGTTACGTATAAAATAAACCAAGAGATGACCAACAGCGTAAAAACAACTGCGATTAATAACCCGGCTGCCAAGCGTGAAAACTATGGCAATTAACCTATGAGCCAGTCTCTGGTGGAGGACTGTGTTCAGCTGTGGGCTTTCAATAGTATGTAACGGTATCGGTATGTGGGCGTCATGACCGTGTGACCTTTATCCCATAAAGAAAGAAAGGAGAAAGATGTGTGCGTTGCGTGTCAAGATTTTAAGCATGATTTCGTTTGAAATGTATGCAACGCTCCATCTATCATTCCTTTTTGGTCAGAGGTGGGGGAGGGACACTTTTTGGAAAACCACTTCCAGTTATTCGACCTTATCATGAGTTTTTACTGTTGATCATAACTGATACTGTTTTGGCTTTGAAAAGTTACACGTTAATTTAGATTTTTCTAAATATATTTTTTAAATATAATGACGATTAAAAGAGTTAATGCATGACTATATAACTTTCATTTTAAATGTTTCAGTCAGTTCAACAAATGGCCAATGGTCCAGGAGGTAAGACTTCTTCGTCTTCTTTTTATTAAAGTTATTTTAATAAGTATTTTCTAAAAAGTTCGAGTTTGTACGTGGTAGACCCATGCTGCAGTTATATTAGTAGCTTAATTGCAGCACGAATGGGTCGGCTTGACCGGGGAGAGACCACACTCTCATAGAATACCAGCGTAAAATAGCTGCTGTGTTTCGTATGGTGAGTGTAGAGAATCGGAGACCCTTTTTACTGGAAACGAGGCATTCCATCTTAGTCCTCACGGGTGACAACGCATCTGCATTTTGATTTGAAATCGAGGATAGATGTAAATGTCTATGGGCCGCAGCAACCACTTAACATCAGGAGGACTGTGTTCTCGTTTGTCACCCTATCCTAATAAAAAATTTTGCTACCTGTAAGTAATTTTCTGACTGTGTGATGGCGGCGTGAAAGGTGACTAGGATAAATGCTAAAAAATTATTTGGCTTCTAATAGATATAACTTGTATTGTATCTTGTTTACTCCATACGTAAAAATCCAGACCGGCGACTGCTATTGAGACCAGCTGATAAAGAGGAGAAAAAGAAAAATTGTACAAAATATTTTGTCCAGGAATTTTCATTTCGGAGATGCTTGAGAAATATTGAAAATCAACTACGTAACTGTTTTAAATATCAATCTTAATATACTTTTACAGGTATGGGTGAAAATTTAGGAGGTATGTGAACTTTTTTAATTGAATAAAACTATTATTTACGGATTTTATCGCGTTTAATTACTTTAATTTATTTTTATTATTATCCTGACGTTTCGGGTACTTTACAGCACCCATGGTCACGGGGGGGGGGGGACTGAGATGTTTGACGTCCCAATGTCACAGTTAGTCAGTCTATCTAGTCAGTTTTTTTTAATATTGCATTTTTAGGGTTCCGTAGTCAACTAGGAACCCTTATAGTTTCGCCATGTCTGTCTGTCCGTCTGTCCGTCCTCGCTTAATCTCTGTGACCGTTAGCACTAGAAAGCTGAAATTTGGTACCAATATGTGTATCAATCACGCCGACAAAGTGGTAAAATAAAAATTGGAAAAAAAATGTTTTATTAGGGTAGCCCCCCCTATATGTAAAGTGGGAAGTGTTTTTTTTAATTTCAACCCTAACGTGTGATATATTGTTGGAAAGGTATTTAAAAATGAATAGGGGTTTACTAAAATTATTTTTGATAATGTCAATAATTTCGGAAATAATCGCTCCAAAAGTAAAAAACAATGTGTCCCCCCCCCTCTAACTTTTGAACCATAGGTTTAGAAAATATGAAAAAAATTTGGAAAGTAGAACTTTATAAGGACTTTCTATGAAAATTATTTTGAACTTGGATGGAAACAGTTTTTGTACAAAAAAAGACAAAAAGTTGTACAAAATAATTTCTCGACTAAGTTTGTAGTATAATCGTATATGAAAGCATTTTTTTTAACTTCGTTTACATATTTTGTTATCCTGTACGTATCTTTTTTCAAACAAAAAAAAGAATTATTAAAATCGGTTCTCGCAATCCAAAATTGCCACCGAAAACTTCTGGCACGTCTATGTATTAATTAGTAACCAAATTGCCCGAGAGATGGCGCTGTAGGTACTTATTACATTGGGTCGGGTATTATCGAATTGTTCGGTTGGTCTCTCCTTGGCATCGCCTGCCGCGGAGCGTGCAATGTTGCACGCTCCATGTTCGCGCACGTACCCACTACCGGGAGCAGTTGCAACCTTTAAAGTCATAAGTGGGAACACTTATTGTGACGGACTGGAAACTACGGAACCCTACACTGAGCGTGGCCCGACACGCTCTTGGCCGATTTTTTTTAATATAGCACCCGAAACGTCGGGATAATAATAAAAATAAATTGAAGTAATTAAACGCGATAAAATCCGTAAATAATAGTTTTAACTTTTTTAATATTATAAATAGATATTATTCACTTTATATTCGGTCAGATTATAAGCTTTTGAATAGATAACTATTATCTGATGATTGGAGGATCTGAATATCTGAATAATAAACAGAATTTTTATTGGATATCTCGAATGCATAAAGCAAAACGGGCTGCCGCGCCGCCGCGACGGTGTAGCTGAGCCGCCGCCGATGAAATGTGTATGGTCGTTATACTTTGCGTAACTTTTCTTTGTGCGTAGCCTTAATATTTGGACATATAAAATAATATAATAATTCACAGCTTATATTTTACATTTGTTATATAAATTAATTGTACCTAAACATGTCTGTGGAGTAAAGGATTCTCAGTCATAGGTTAGACCCGATACCGCCTTGTAAAGTTGCCGGCACACCGCCTGCAACTTTACAAGGCGCAGGTTCGGCCGCACATGGAATACTGTTACCATCTCGGGGCTGCGGCTCCCTAGTACCAGCTCCTTCCACTTGACCGCATCCAGCGCAGAGCGGCTCGAATCGTCGACGACCGAGTGTTTTCCGAACGGCTCGATTCACTGGAACTGCGAAGAGATGTTGCATCTCTTTGCATTTTCTTTCGCATATACCATGGAGAGTGCTCTGAGGAATTGTTCGGATTAATCCCAGCCGCCAAATTTCGTGAACGCACCACGCGGCAAACGTCGCGATACCATCCACATCATCTGGATGCTTGGCGGTCCACCACTGTACGTTTCAAGAGGAGTTTTCTTCCGCGTACAACCTCACTGTGGAATAGTTTACCACTAGCGATTTTTCCGGACCGATACGACCTGGGGACCTTCAAGAAAAGACTTACTCCTTTCTAAAGGGCCGGCAACGCACCTGCAATTCCCCTGGTGTTGCGGTTGATCATGGGCGGCGGTAGTCACTTAACATCAGGTGAGCCGCATGCTCGTTTGCCCACTCTTCTATAAAAAAAAATACATAGTTACGTGCAAAGTATGTACATATTAACAACTGTTAAGACATTTGTTAACTTTCATATCTTTGAGCCTAAAATATTGTAATAGATTTTTATATTTAAACCAAACTTAATATATCGGTTTAGTGATTTCTTCATACAGTTTATACTCATAATATTTGACGCAGTCACGCGAACAACCTAAGCTTGACTTTGATCCCGGCTGTTTACACACTAAAATCGTTAAGCTAATTTCGCTGAAGTCTCTTTTGGAATTTAATAAATCAAACAGAAATGGACTGTGACATCGATAATGCCGCAGGTGTCGATCGTGGCGTCTTTTATGCGTCTTATCCGTGCGCGTGATGCGGTCGGCAGAAGTAGGAGAGCTGATGATCTTTAAACCCTGTGCGCGCGGATTAAACTTCGTAATTACAAGGGCTCATTGGAGTAACGAAGCGAATTCACTCCTGCGGAGTTAGTGAAGTTGCTTTCTTTAATTGATATGGCTGGCAGAAGTAACGCTAGCACACGTTAAGTCACGTGACATTCGTGTGAGTTTTCGATTAGCGTTAACGATTGTACACCAATTTATAGAAGGGGCAATATAGAAACATCTTAATTCATAGCACAGTTTACAATGGGTTATTTTCTTTACTAATACTTTACCACCACACGTAGGTGGCTTCGGTTTTGGAATGAATGCAGGCGCAGGCGCACAAGGGGGTGGACAGGGCGGCGGACAAGGTGGTGGACAGGGCGGCGGACAAGGTGGTGGACCACCAGGCCAGGGATTCGGCAAATAATAAGGTACGTCTTGAATAAAAACTAGGATGGCATTTGAGTTTCATCGAATTATATTAATTTTAATAGTTTTTTTAAACATAGCTGAATTGGTTTTTTGACTTGGAAGAGCCTAGTGGGAAATGTCCATAACATTCTAATTCTATAGGATATGTTTCGAGGAGAGGGTGCACAAATTTCATGATTCATTACCTCGGTACATGGCGCCTCTTTCTCTCTCACTCTCTATGAGGCAGGCGGTGCTCTTCAAACTATGGAACGACATATATTGTTTTTATTTTTTGCCCGAATTTCAGCTAATTAATTTTAATATTTTTAATGCTTTAATTCGGCTATTCCCCTTAACATAATTGTCCTGTGGACCGAATTCCGGTAACGGAGGCCAATATAAACTGAGACTTGCCATCTCCGCAAGATGGCATTATAGAGGCCGATCGTATAAGCCCGAGGCCCCATTGTGTAACAAGCAAAAGCTATTCCCTCACACTTATAGTCCGATGGTCGATAATCCGACAAGACCAGACCGAGGGCAGGAACAACACCAACGGCTTTAAGAGGCACGGAGATATACCAATGCCAACTTACTGACTCCAGGCTGCTAGGCTGCTACTGGGAATTCCTTGACACGAAAACTCAATGACTGATTTTGTTCCTACCCAGGATTTGAACCCGGTATCTCACGACCATGTAGGGCGGCCTTCTACGCTACACTTCGAGTCCACTAGAGAACTTTCTTCCCCGAATGTGTTGGTCCTCCGAGCTATACGACTGGTCAATTACCACACAGCTTACTGATCTATTGGGTTATGTCGGTTACTCTGGGTCTATTGTATTGTATTGAGTACAAAAATATTTACTTATACCATTAATTTACGGTATAAAATTTAAAAATTACTAAATATACATACTTTTGTTTCAGAATAACGTGTTGTTCATAACATTGTACCGTTGGAGGATTGTACCGTGATTATAGACACGATAGAAATAAATATCTAACTTACTGCGCGTGTTTTAATTAAACCTTTATTATAATCTACTTGCACCATTTGTAAAAGTAGAAAAGGAAACTATTTTGAAAAACACAAAGGAAACAATTTGACTATATATTAATTTATATCTACAATTTTTTTTAGTTCACTTCTTGACACTATTTCAATCGTTTCAATAATGGCTTAATATTTACAATATACCACATACTAATACTCTCATTCAAAATATATTATATTACACAGTAAAACATAAACTTTCACATAGAGCTGATCTCAGAATTACAATGTTTATTTAATATTTGCGTATAATTGCAACTTAAGTTTCCTACTTTATGCGAACAATCTCATGCTAACCTATCACTTTTATCTTTTAATAAAGTTACAAATAAATATGAGGAAAAATAATTTTATCGGATTTTTTTTACATGCAACATTATAAGAGTTATTGTAACTTTCAACTCGCCTAGTTAATCTATTGTATCTGAGTTAGATCCCACAAGTAAACTTGCGTGTGCAAGATTGATGGAGGCTGACAAAAGTGCTCACGTTCCAAGATATTGTTACCAGCTTAGGGTTCGTGACAATAAAAATTGAATAATTACTGAACACCAATTACAACTAAACACACATAAAAATTACTCGAGTACACCTTTTCTTTTCTAAGCTCTCCTATTTTTGCTTCTCGATACTAGGTGGTGCTAGTGGCATTAATTATGGCTTGCAACAATATAAAGAAAACAAGACAGATTAATACAAGAATAGAAATGAATATTAAAGTATATACTGCAACCTTAATCTTTTCTTAGCTTTTATTGCTGATATCGATATAAGAATAGATGTGTTAGTCCTTTCAGAATGAACCAACGCAAATAATACCCTTTCAGAATAATTATTAGATGTTTCATAACAAGTAAAGCCTAAATCAAAACGACGGTGTGGTAGTAGGGCCTTGGGCTACTAAGGGGCTTCTTAATTTCTCAAGTAATTGCCATTTTGTCGAAATAAATAAAATAGTAATGTTGCTATAGGATAGCATACGGTATTAAAAATATAGGAAAATCTATTTTATTTATACAATATAGTTATAATGTAACTAATGTTTGTTACAAATTGTTGTATAGAAACAGCAACCGTACAACACTTGACACTGCTAAATAAATTAACAGATTATGTTTATAATGCAAACTTTCTGCATTTTCGTGCTGCAAATTCCTTTATTTGCTCATCACACTGTAAGTTCTTTGTTAATCACAATTTACGGAAAGGACTGATAAATGACTTAGTCGATAGTTCGACATCGTCGTTTTATGTTTGTTATCTATGTACGACATTCTGGAGAAAGAGCGCTCCGCTTCACAGCTAGTGGCAATGTAAAAAAATCTTTAAAGTGGTATAGCAATTAGGAAAGTCATTAATAAATTAGCACAAAAAATTAATTGCAAGAGTTGTAAGACTCTAGTAACGTAAGTGAGTTAGACTGTAGTAAATAAGACTGTTGGCGAGATTTTACCTTCGACTAACAGATGGCGCTGATTGTCGCTTAATTGTCGCGCTATACAGGCGATTTTTCTATACCATAATATTGTTTTTTAAAGTATAGTCAGTTCTTTATTACAGAATCAGTACTTCAAGTAGTGTTTTAATTTAGTCGGTAATTTCTCTTAAGACTTTAACCGAATGCAGTCATTCATTAAATATTCGTCTACGTCATCTGGATAATAATTAATAATATCACGTACACTTTCCAGATCTATGTGTTCCGTGTTATGTCCTACAAATTCATCAAAAAAATTGATCATTCGTCATTCATGTAAATAAGATTTAAAATTTAGATGAAAATGTTAACAATGTTAAATAGGTAAATATTAATAATAAAACATAAGAGTTATTGTGTACATCAACGACTTCTTGCTTGCCAACCAAGATCAATTGAAACTGCAAAACGACCCCAACATGACAGTACAATTTATTGTCAAACTAGGTTGGATAATCGATATGGGCAAATTTCTACAAAGCCTATCCCAGCGAATCGAGTACCTACGCATAGAATAGGATACAAACCACAACATAAAAAGTTCGCCCGGAAAAGAAAATTTCGTCCCGGAGAAAAGATCTCAACAACATTCTAACAAGTCAAAGATGAAGTTGGTAGTCCCCAAAAAGCCTGCTGAGGAAACTAAACATTGCTTCCTTTGTAACATCCCTGGGAATCACCGCCGAGCACGTGTAAATCAGCACTTAAAATTGCAATTAACAATTTCATTGGTGCGGGCGGGGATCGAACCCGGGTTACTCGCGTTCTGTTATATTTACAGTGAGCGTTAACCATCTGAGCTACCACGGCTCAACATATAATCGGGGTGGAACAAGATCATCACAGCTGACGGAGCTGATAATCGCCAAGAGGTTACGTGCGGAAATCTATCCCCAATATATAGCGGGGACATACAATGACGTGGCCGACAGCCTGCCTCAGCAGATGCATTTTATACGTGGTAGAGCCATGCTGCAGTTATATTAGTAGTATAGTTATAGCACGAATGGGTCGCCTCGACCGGGGAAGGACCAGTCTCTCATAGAATACCAGCGTAAAATAGTAGCATAATACTGCTGTGTTTTGTATGGTAAGTGTAGAGAACCGGAGACCCTTTTTACTGGAAATGAGGCATTCCATCTTAGTCCTCACGGATGAAAACGCATCTGTATTTTGATTCGTAATAGAGGATAGATGTAGATGTCTATGGGCCACAGCAACCACTTACCATCAGGTGGACTGTGTGCTCGTTTGTCACCCTATCCTAAAAAAAAATCTATAAGGCTGGCATCTATCAACGAATATTTGTAGCTGCATTTTTCGGAAGTGGGGCATTCCCGATGTGGACCTGTTTGCATCGAGCAATTTAATCGATAGTCCCAGTTTATGTATCTCGGGATGCAAAGGACCAAGGAGCTTTATTCATAGATGCTTTCAGCCAAAGGTTCTAGTTAGCATGTATTTTTCCATCACCGTGCCTTATTCCCCGAGTGCCAGCCCATCTAAATCAAGCCAAAGGTTTCTATTTATTAAACATTCTGATTGTTCCACAATGAGAAAGGGTATTTGGTGGAGGTAAGGGTTAAATTTGGAGGTGGGATCTACGATCACGTGTGGTAGATCACCCATTTTAAATCCGAAACCTCCACCATCACCTGAAAAAACTAACATCCCAACCAAATTTAACGAAAGTACCTGTGTTTAAATGCTAGAAAGGTACGGGGTGGCCGATTTTAACTAAGACCTGGTCAGAAGAGGACTGCCAACTAATACAAAAAGTATAGCGTAATTCATCGCTTAGACATATCGAGAACCATGAAAAATGGTACCTTCTTCGTGGTCTTAACCTCAACAAGCCGGACGCAGCCTCTCTTAGTTTTATAGTGTAGATAAAAGTACATAAATCCGTCATTGCTACTTTTGCTGACCAATTCCATAGGGATTCTATTACAGACAGCTCGGTAGTTAAAAAATATCAAAACCATTGAATTATCAAAGCCACCTACTACACTTAACAAGCAAATTAGAGATGTTAAGCTACTGATTAAATGGCTAGAGAACATTCAAATACAGGAAGATAGTATTTTTCAAGTTTCGCGACATCTGGCTCCATTATTATTGTTGGCATCTGGAAGAAGGATCCACGACCTCACTTTACTTAAGATTGATCAAAATAGCATGGCAATAGACGAGCCTTCCGTTACATTTTGGCCGGAATTTGGGTCAAAAATCGATTAGTTGTTTATACGTACATTGACAATCCGCTCGGAAACCAATACTAGTCACAAACGAGAATCCAGTCCGATGGGTAAAGGTTCATCTTGCCCCTTTAGATTCGAGAAGAAACACGGGTGGAAAAAAGATAAATTCATTGTTAATTACCTCTAGAGGTCAAGTAGCAACTGTATCCGAAGCAGTTACAGCCGAATGGATAAAAACTGATTTTTCAGAAATAAACATTAATTTCCCAACGGGCAGC